ATGTTGTAGCCACTGTGCAAGAGAATCTCATCGGGGAGCCCCGACGATTGCTTCACCTTGTTGATCACATGCATCATGTTCTTGTATACACCAATTTGGCTTCGTTCGAGCACCAGTTGACCCTAGCGTGCATGAACATCCTCCATTTTTCCAGCACCGTCATCAAAGCCAAGATGCAGCTGAAGTGGCTGACGGCCGCTGGCTGTTCACGTGTCAGCTTCTGATTCATGGTGATCAGGTGGTCCAAGGCCATCTCCAAGTTCAATGGGAACTGGGGATGCTGTCCATAGTGTACACGCCAGGCATGTCCAAGACCAGTGAGACGCAGGTCAAGCTCGTCCACGTACTTCATCAATAGCACCCTGTTCGGCTCGTCCTCCCAGTGCGGTGCATCAGGTCGTGCGTAGAGGTAATCCTTCATGCACTTGTTGAACTTCTCACCACGGGTGCGAGCATAGTAGGTCTTGTCCTTGGGCGCGGAGTTGTTGATGCCTCTGAGGTCACCATGCTGTCTTCTTGATCGGAATTCTCTGATGAAGTCCCTCAGCTTCCTCGTCGCGAACTCCTACCATGATCATGACTCCTGTCACACTTCTTTTGTAAGTCAAACTTGGCCCCCCATGACACTATCCTCCATGGCTTCTTTAACGGCCGGCAATGTTTCGTCCGCAAACTGAGTAGTGAGACCGTCCAACCGTCATAATCATGAATGTGTTACTCTGTTCCGCTGATCATGAACTTCATACGTTTGTCGTTCCATTAATCACACCCTCTTGGCAACTCCAGCATAGCCATAGCATCCATGTTGATGACCTTGACAAGACACTTTGAAAATACTTCCCAAAGTTTCCAGTATAAGGATACCTTCATGTTGATCTCATGCGCCGTGACTGGACCATTTCTTTTGTTCAGCTGATTCCATGGCGATCCGCCGGTGCATGCACCTGCGAAGAACACGCAATCCTCGTTGGATCGGAGGCAAGCCCTCCACTTGGCATCCCCGTACTTCGAGAGTAGATCATCATCTTCAGTAATCAACTCGAGGTGAAAGGACTTGTCAATTCTTGTCAGTGTTGCGTGAATACCAATTTGTCATCCGACTGAAAGGTTCCGCACACATCAATACCATAGCCGGGGTGTCTGGGTGCAGTTCATGAATGTTGATCTCAATGTCATGGTTACTGTGCTCTGTACATCTCTGTACCCAACAAATTTGGAATATATATATATATATGTGGAACTTCTCGTGCAAAGTCTCCCCGTTGTTTCGATCCAAAACCAGATAGACATGACTGTCATCGATGTTGCCCTCGTACGGAATCTCCTTCTTCTGAATCCGAATTGTGTAGTCATGTGGAATAAAGACCTTTACAGCGGGAACGACCATCAGACCCGTGGTGTTGACACAAGTAACCGCCGTATCATCCATGATGCACTCAACAGCTGGAGACACAATGCAACGTTGCTTAATTAATTGACACGGCAGACGGACTTCCGTTCTCGACCATGATCTGAAGTGCGAACGATAGCTTGGAGTCAATAGACTGAAATCGGAAATCCCCCGAATATGCAAGTAGTTCATATTCCGGGTGAGACCTCTGGGCAGGATCCAACCAGTCTTGCCATGCTCGTTTGTCGGGATCACCAGATGCGACACAGACTGCTTGGACCGTTCCCGAACGCCACACATCCAAGTCTTGACATCTTGGCCATGGCTTCACGACCACTTTGTCGTGTTCTCGTCGGGAAACCCTCGTGACCCATTCATTCTGCCCGTCACCTGATGCCTTGCCCACGACCGACCCAGGGGCTAGAAATTGCCGATGTTCTCATCAGTGGCCTTGATGGACTCTTGACCTTCCTCAACCTGGCGTAACCTCTTCATAGTTCCTCTCAGCTCGGCCTTCTTGTTCAGCAAGTTCGTCCCTGAGCCTCTGGTTGATCTCATCTTGAGGGTTCGTAGTCTGGATTGACGAAGAAGCGCCCATCTGGTACTTGCTTCCTGTTTGCCTCTTGCAACTCGATGTAGAGTCCCGTTCTTCAAGATCGCATCATCTCTCTGGATCAGGATCTTCGTTATCTCTTCGGTCGTTCTCTTGTCCACTGTTGCGCTCCGTTCGACGATTCGGCTATTCTTCGCTCGAAATTCCTGTTGCAGTCGGCTGAGTTCTCTTCGAAGCTCCCCGACGACTCGTGAATTGGGCAAGCTAGCGACATCATCCCACTTGCCCTGCAAGATCTCGGTGACACGTAGTAGGCGAAGTTGATAGTTGTCCTCAGAGAGTTCGGCGTTCTTCTCCTTGAAGTTCTCCATCACTGCTTTGATACTAGCCTCGTTGTCCAGGATCATGTTCTTGTCACGAAGTTGATCAGCAATCATCCTTTCATTGATGCACTCATGTTCGCAGTTGCTCATCAATCTTCTCTGCTCGATGATCTCGTTCTTCAATGTCAACTCGGAATCCCTCAGGCTCATCCTCGCACTGTCAATGTTTTCAACTTTCCTGCATAGGCAATCTGATCGCGTAGTTTCTGTTTCAGGTCCTCGATCGTGAGATCCTTCTGCCTCATGTTCTCCGTAGACTCTGGGATCTGACCCTGCATGTGGACAAGTTCCTGATCCTTGATCATCACGGCGTTCTGGGCGTTCGCCTGGAGGTTCTCATTGTTCACCATCACCATCTCCGCATTTGCAGCTAACCTCGATGTGATAGATGCCATCTCCTGACGATTCATCTCCTCCTTCTCGGCGACGTACTCATGACACTCTTGTTGAAGTCTTTCTCGTTGTTGTCTGAACTTCTCTGCCGTCTCCTCTGCGTTATGATGTTGTTCTTGTATGTGACGAACTGCATTCTCGAGTTCAGAGTGGTATCGTTGCCGTGCAATTTCATTTTCCCGAATGATATGTCGTGCTCCATCCTCTACAAGCTCATTGCGACGACCAAGCTCCATGATCCTCATAGTAGAGCCTTCATGCATAAGATGTGCCTCAGCAAGAGCCTCAGACTGTTCACTCATGATACGTGCTGCACTGGCTAATGATTCCCTCATGTACTCGACCTCAGTGGAGACATATTGTTGGTACACGACCTCAGTGGAGACATATTATTGGTACATGTCGAAGTTGTAGTTGGAATAGATCTCCATTTCACACATTGCTTCATTGCGATGACGTGATGCATCCTCAAACAAGTTGGCTCTTTCCTCGAGTTCAAACTTAGCTTTCTCACTCTCATCCATCTCATAGCTGACATGTAGAAGTTGCTTGCGGAGTTCACTTTCACACCGAGTCGCACTGTTGGAGGATTTGCGCTTCGCAGTGCCAGCCGAAGGGCTTGCGCCACTGCTCCGCGCAATGTTGGTCGAAGGACCGGCACTGCTCCTATCCTCAATGGCAAGTCCCGAAGGGCACCTCGCTGATCTTGCCAAAGACGATCTCTGCGGCCTTCCCCTTGGAGTAGTCTGGCCGTGGCCCGCAGAAGCTCCGCTGTGCGCATTGCTGCTGACGGCCACCCATGAGGTAGTACCTCCACCGCCGCTATGTCCTGATCCCGGCGTGTCCGCTGGAAGTGCCGGGGCTGTGAAGGACCTATGGGTTTCGTTGCTGCTAGTGTTTTTCTGCGACATTGCTTCGGTTGCTGTGCTTTGCACCTCTTCCGTTTACACCAGTGCAATCGACGGGTAGTAGGGCAAGGAGTGCAAGATGCCGAAGTCAATGAAGAGAGCAATTGTTCGCAGGACCACCGTACGCCCCAGGGTAGAGCGTACGGCTGATAACCTGAGAATGGGCGCAGGTGTGTTAGCACTGTGTGACCTTGCGTAGTAGACCTGTAGTTTGCAAGGTTCCGCAAAAGCTCAATTGCCCGCTGCAGCAAATTCCATTTTCCTTGAGCGGCGATCGGTTCCTTGAGCCAAGCAGTGGGCGGAAAATGCTGCAACCTTGCTGCTGGCTGACATTACCGATCTGTACATATACATGCTTAGGGCTAACCTGGCCTGCATTACATTCACACAAATAACTGTCTATACCACCGGGATGCTTTTGTTTGCAGTGTGGGTGCCACCTTGATCCAACCCTGATCCCACCTGAATGTTGGAATCTCCAGCAAACATCAGAACTTCTTCGACGTTGCGCCAATTCACCTGGAGATGCATCCATTGATCCCCAAGAAAGCCAAGAAAGCCAAAACAAGACGAAGAACCTTAGCGCCTTAGTTCAATTTAACCCACCAATTTGACGCAAGAGAGCACTGTCGATGCGTGCGAAATAAAACCATGAACAAAAAATGTCAACATGTCAGCAGCTGGCAGCACCTCAGCACGACAAAAAGGGCAAGTTTTTTTCCGGTCGGCCAGGTCTTGAACCTCAGCCAAAGAAGAAATCCCAGTAACGATGAATCACCGAGCAACGAACAAATGGGTGTGATTCCCTGGACCTGAAATCTTGGGACTGTCGTAACTTGTCGTAACTCTTTGGATTTCACGGCTTGTTTCAGGTTCTTTGACTTATTATAGGAGTAGCGAGTCTAGCGAGTCTAGCGAGTCTAGCGAGTCTAGCGAGTCTAGCGAGTCTGACTGTCGTGCGCTTCAGTTCTTGGCACAGGCTCCATGAAATATGTGTCCGCATTCTCGCAGTCGAACCACCGGCATGGCATACCTCAAGTTTGGAAGGATTTTCAGGGTTTCCATTCAACAAAAGGCTCAAGTCCTGCAATGCCGGTACAGCAGTGATTGTAGTGATGCGATGTGTCTGTCTCACACCACCAAGACGCCAGCGTATCTGCGAACGATTCCGCGCAAATGACACATTCTTTTTCAGCTAGAGAAGGATCCTGCTAGGCAGCAGTACACATCCACACTCTGACTAGATCAACTTGAACCCTACCATCCTTTGTCCCGAGCTGATGACTTGCATGCCATATTGCTTGGCTGAGTCTTTTGGGTGTTTTTGCGAAGCAAAATCATTTGGGTCTTCCTAGAAGGACAGTGTCCTGAGCAACAGCTGTCGCCACAGCAGCTTCCCCACTTTGTAGGGCCGCCTGAGAGAGATCCACAGTGCCTTCCTCCCATGCTCCACTGCTCCACTGTCATGCTGTTTGGAAATGATGTGCATACATGTCAAAACAAGATGCACGTTGAATATATTGTACGGATCATACATATTATATATTTACATGTACTGCAGTAGCATGGTACAGTACATACAATGTGTGACACATGTCATACAAGTATTGAATGCAATTACTATGCGTGTAATAATGCAGTAAATGCAACGCATACCCCAAATACAAAAATAATATCGTACATGCAATATGGGTCAAGGGGGCAACAAATATGATGGTATGCTGTAATGTATATGATCCATGCAACATGTATCATACATAATCATTTAAGAGTTAAGATGTTTCCTTTCTGTCCTCCAATGAGCACCTCTGTCTAGACTCTAGACACCTCTTGTTCACTTCAGTGGCTCTGCAGATTCAGAAGTTCCGAGCTCCAGGCTTCCTTCTCTTCGACAGGAACAGCTCTTCGCCGAACAAACCGTCGTTTTTTATGTTTCTTGTCTACCTGACACGAAGTTCATCGAAGTTCCAGCTGATGCCATCTAAAGGATCCGTAGACACTGTGGTCCATGGTTAGATCTGACAGTATGGAAAGCATCATGCAATCATCAAGAAATGGAGTTCTGCAGCTTTGAAATGCAAGTCTGCCTGCTTTCCGTGCATAGTCGATCCTTCGAAAAGCACTTCGTAGCTGCGAATTCCGATCACAATGTCTGCTTGCAACTCCTTGGGTCAGAAAAACAGACACTCACAACATTCATTTGTAAATCCCTAGTACATTCGAAAAGCTGAGCGCCCGGACACCACTTCTGAAAGCTGTTTCTATCTCGTGGTTATGGTCAGCACTGTACCTTCGAATGTATGCAGACTTTCTGGCACTCCGCAACGCTGCAACCTTTTTCCAGGCTCACGCGGCCCACTTTTCTGGACCCAGGCTGCCTGGCATAGTGACACAAAAGAAAAGGTAAGAAATTGTTTGGGGCCCAAAAACGGGATATGCCCATTGAATATCATTAAACTCCTACCCGATGCAGAGCCTGGATGTTGAGTTTCAGCATCTCGACACCACTCCCATAGCCTGCTCACATTTGGGTCCGGGAACCATGCTCCAAATATCTCCAAATCATTGAAAGCATATGAAAACATACCACACAATTGTATGCAGAGAAACACTGACAAACAACATGAGCTCCAGGCCCAACAAGTTCTTCCCTATCATTTTGCACAATAGCAGCAGCTCTCTCCTTGAAACTTTGTACCAAACAGTGAGGTGTTGATTCAGTGTTGATACTGAATACTTTTGGCGCTCCTCGAGTTCCTCCGGAGTGGGCTTGCGATATGTACCTGGGCAGTGATCATATTGATCTCTCCCATCCTTTACATTCTTTTGCTATGGACTGCGTGGGGCCCCAGCTCAAGAATTCAGGAGGCGGAGGTAGCAGTGGAGGCGGTGCTGGAGCGGGCCCAGAACTGGAATCCAAGGAAACGATTCTCTCCTGCAGGGCAAGGCTCAGGCAACAGAAATGGATCTGAATTTTTCCTTGTGTCTTTGCCATGATTTCGGCATGATTTCATGCAGTATGTTCGAAGTCTTTATTTCAACTCTTCAACTAGCTCCTGGGTGACACCAGGTACCACAACATCAGCTATCCGCCAGCCACGGTCACGGACAACATGAACACGAATCTGTCACATCACGCACCACACCACCCCCACATTCTCAGCCAGTCTCTCAGCCAGTCTCTCAGTTCAAATCTGAAACCACAGTGCCTGTGGAGGGTCGCCAGGTGCCAATTCAAATCTCCGCACATCTCGCCTTTTGCAGAACACAAAACGGGGCTAACGAGGCCCAGCACAAACCTCCAAAAACCCTCTGTCATCGTCTCGGCTTTTGCTGGCTGAGAAGCTCACTTGCCACCACCCACTCTCCTCTGTATTGGGAGCTCTCCGGGACCCTGTGCTGGGCCATTGATCTTGTGCTGTCACTTGTTTCAATACAGCACTGTGGGCAAAGACTTTCAGGCTATGATGTTTGACAGTACTTACTTACTCGACTGAGATTTTAAGTCTTAGTTGAAAGCCATAAATCTCATGAATCTCATGGCATGTCCGAAACAAAAGTTGTTTGAACACAACGCCAATGGCACCCCGAAATCCACGATGAGAGTCTCGTAGACTGCACCGAGTCCAAGTCCAGACAGTTTGACCTAAATTGATCAAAAAGAATGATGGAACGAACTTCAGAACACTTAACCAATTTGACCAACTTTTGACCAACTTTTGACCAACTTTTGACCAACTTAACCAACTTCAGACTCATTTGACAGCAACAAGCACCGAACACAAGAAACGTTCCCTGGCCTGTTGGTCTCGACGACTATGGTAAGCCTGGCTGAAAGGAATTTCAGTAGAGTCAGTAGAGAATTTGCAAGCATCTGCAATAATTACAATCGAAACATTATATATATACATACATACTGTGAAAGTTTGCAGAAGATTTAGCTGAGTCACTTTGGCCATGTGCAATTCGCAAATTTCAGATGATCAATCCCGCAGCTACGGGCCCTGGGATATGAGGAAAAGGCTAGCGGATTTGCTTTTGATGGCAGCATTTTGAGGCGGCATTTTGAGCAGCGCTTCACATTGGTGGCGCGGAGCTATTTGATCCAGGAGAACCTTTGGGGCTAGCTTTGAATCATGAGTTCGATGAGTTTTTATCCAAATGGGCAAGTAGCACAGAATGAGGGTAGTGGCAAAAGCTTTAGGCATTTCGGTGCTGAGAGTGATGAAACTGGCCAGTCTGCAGATGCCGAGCAGAATAGGCATGGTGGAGGCTCTCAGCAACATGAAGGTGATGCGGCTTCATGGAATGGATCATGGGGTCATGATGGGTCATGGAATGGTCGCTCCCATGGCGATGATTCCACTTGGGGCTCATGGACTAGGAGAAGTTCATGGTGGTCTAACTCTGCCCAAGGCGGTGTGAGTGGATGGTATGAAACACCGCAAGGATGGTTTTGGGGAGAAAGCTTAGACCAGGCGGTGCAGTACGGAGTGGCTAGAGGATGGATTCAGCTAGACAGCGCATTTTGCGCCTGGTGGCATGGTCATGCTGAAAGTGCAGTTGGCAAGAAACATGGTAATGGAGAGAAGGAAGACAGCAAGAGTGAAAGTGATTCCCGAGGAGAAAGTGCTTCAGGGGAGCAGTCAGGAAGTGCCGTGACTCAGAAGGAAAGTTTTGAGAAGAAGCATGCCGGCAAGGAGAAGGTGCCGGAGCATGATGGTGAGCTGACGATGAGAGAGTATGAGAGAAGGGTGAGAATCTTCCAAGCAACTACCAACATGTCCCGAATTCCAAGCAGGCCGATTGTTGGAGAGGTTGAGTGGTCGTGCATGGAGAGCAGCTGAAACTTTGGAAGTGAGCAAGATCAAATGCGAGCAAGGCGTTGAGATTCTCTTGAGACACTTGTGGGACGAGCTTGAGCCTCGAGTATCTGAGAGTTTTCCACACTTTGTCGTACTTGTACGACACCTTCCAGAGGTCACGAGGACAGGAGATGACTCAGTATGACACGGCCTTCAGGACGCAGTGCCAACGACTTGCTGAGGCCCAAAGCCCTTTGGAAGGGCGAGCCAAGGCATTTTGGTTCCTGCGGAAGGCAGGGCTCTCAGAAGATTTGAGGCGCCAGGTGGTGTCGACGGCCGGAGGCATCTACGACTATGCTAAACTGCGGTCTGCCCTGGTGGCCATTGTGCCACATGTTGGCGTAGCTGACCATGGGAGTGGTGAAGACCGACGAGGACATCATGGAGACTTCAGGAGAGGCAGGAGTCCCGGCCCAAGGTCTTCTCACAAAGTGCATGCCGTGGTTGAGGGAGAAGATGACGGTAGAGATGAAGCAGATAGTAAGATGTCTGATGGTGACTATGATGGAGATTGTGGAGCTGACGATCTTGAGCTTGAAGCGGAAGTTTTGCTCACAGCTGCAGCCCGTCGTCGAGCTGAACATTCCAAGAATAGAGGATTCCATAGATCCGAGTCGCCCCAGGCGCGGGAGAAACGGATAGAAAGCATGAAGCAAAGGATGGCATGCGCCGCATGTCGTGCAAACGGAAAATTGGTGTACGGACATTGGCACTCTGACCCTGCTTGTCCATACTATGGCAAAAGCGATGGCAAGGGTGGGAGCAAACAGTCTGGAACCAAGAGCGTCTTTGTGGTCACTCAGGAGAAAGATGATGAGGACACTTTGAGTGATGATTCGGATGCAGCCTTTTTGAGTCATGTGATTTTGATGTCAAGTTCAGAGAAGTTGCGAAAAGCTAGTGCTCTGATGGCGCTCTCGGACACATGTTGTGCCCGAACCGTTGCTGGAGAAAAGTGGTGCAAGAATGTCTTGGAGAAGCTTCATGAGTTTGGGACGGCGTTCTACATCATCCAGGACAACCAGCCGTTTAGGTTCGGTGATGGACCCAAGGTGTGGGCGAAGTATGCTTTGGTCATGCCGGTCCAGATCAAGAACGCTAGGTGCCCATTCTTGCTCAGGATCAGCGTGGTCCAAGATGATGTCCCCCTTTTACTCAGTGCCAAGGTGTTGCAACAGCTTGGAACGGTCTTGGACATGGGAGGGCAAGAGTACGTGTTCAAAGCGCTGGAAGCATCCATCAAGATGAAGTCCACCGGCACTGGACACATTGGCTTCGAGCTTTTCTCGGATCATCCTGATCCGACGGATCTGCTGAGGATTGACTGGGAGGCCTTTCTTGAAACCGGTGAAGAGGTTGTCTTCATTGAGCGCTTGGAGGACTGCTCTACGGGGCATGTTTTCACTCTTGACCCAGGGCCCGTTCATGAAACTAGGGTGAAACATGTCTCATTTTGTGATGATGTAGAGTGGTTTAGGTATGAGGTTGGTGAAGATGATGATATTTGTGTCTCAGCCGTTGTTGATCCTCTGAGCGAAGCCGAAACTGATCAGCCCTCTCCCATCTGTGAGCGAGATGGCGTCCACTACCACCGCAGTTCCCAAGAAGCACAGCGAGTTGGTGAATGCCTTGGTGAGCATGACGTCTATGTCTCGTCAGGCACTGGAGGAGATGGGGGTGGAGAAGCTGAAAGTGATCTTCAGGAGTGTGAGGCCGGCCAAGCCTCAAGCAGTGCTCACAGCCAATTGGAAGAAGTTCAACACGGTCCAGTGGTGCGTCAAGACGCGCCTGAAATGCTGCCAAGTGACGTCATGTTCTATTTTCTATGGTTTTGGCGGTGTTTTTGTGTTTTTTCATCTGCTTGTGTCATGTCATTTCATGTTTGTTTTTTAAATTTTGAGCGAAATTTCCATGGCACCACAGTTTCGCGCATGTCGCACGGGGCTACAGCGAAATGCATCTTTTTAAATGTTGGTGGTAGTTTCGCTACAGCGAAATGACATTTTTTACCCACATAATTTACTTTTTTTTTGACTTGGATTTTTCACATAGCAGTTACATCATGTTGCACGGGGCTACAGCGAAATGAAGGTTTTTAGTCTTTTTCGTGTTTTCGTTACAGCGAGGTGCACCTTTTTTGATGTATGGTATGGTTGATTCTAGTTTCATAAACAATGAGTGTGTGTGTGTGTTTGAATGTGTTTTCAGCTGAATACGGCATTTGAGAGCATTCGAAGAATCCACAGCTCAAAGAAGCTGACACGGACGCTTCTTTTTTGTCCTGGCGAGCGAACTCATTCGAACAGCCAAGAGCTGTTTTTGTCCAAGACCAGGAAGTCTTTGGGTTCATGTCCCAAGGCAAGTTTCACTTTGTTCCGGACGTAACATCGGGAGCGTGTCGAGGATTGCAAGAGAAGATCTATAGAGCTAGCATCATGAGCGTGTCGAGGATTGCAAGAGAAGATCTATAGAGCGTCATCGGGAGCGTGTCGAGGATTGCAAGAGAAGATCTATAGAGCGTAGCATCATGAGCGTGTCGAGGATTGCAAGAGAAGATCTATAGAGCGTAACATCGGGAGCGTGTCGAGGATTGCAAGAGAAGATCTATAGAGCGTAGCATCATGAGCGTGTCGAGGATTACAAGAGAAGATCTATAGAGCGTAACATCGGGAGCGTGTCGAAACGAAGATGCAACAGGAAGAAGGCGACAGAACGCTATTAAGCCCCCCCCCACCCCCCCCACCCCCCCCCACCCCCCCCACCACCCCCCACCCCCACCCCAAACCCCCACCCAACCCGTCGATCCGCGTGACAGGTGTGGAGAAAAATACACATAAACGCGCACTGCCAAGCAGAAAAGCAAAGCATAAAAAACGCGTCGTGACGTACGACTGGGGCCTTCAACAAAGCAGAGCTCCAAGTTCTTTACAGCGAGCGGGCGATCCCGTTCTTCAAGGAGGATCCACGTGGTCACGCCTATGTGCACTGGGGGCGGGATCAGCTGATCGTGGAGCTGGAGCACTACCAGGTGGAAGCCCGTGCTTATCTCAAGGAGAATCCGGATGCCCCACAGAAGCAGACGGTGCCGCTTTGCCCATCTTGTCAGGTGGGGATGGTGGTTCGAAAGAATCCGGCTACCCTGGAACCGTTTTACGGTTGCTTGGCCTTTCCAGCGTGTCGCCAGACCATGGCCATGGAGTATGCGTCAGAGCCAGCAGCCGTGGTTCAGAGACGAGCCATGCGCAGCAAGAAGGCGGTGGTAGTGGACGACACGGAGGAGATGGACGGAGAGATGAGGAGCCGAGCAGCCAGTGTTCCGATCCCGGACGATGGGGACTCGGAAGCAAGTTGGGCGCCCATCTCAGAAGCTGGGGCAAGATCTTCGGCAAGTCAGAGTGTGCGAGTGAGTCAGGAGGAGCTCCTGTTGCTGAAGGAGATTCGCGAGGCCAAGAAGAATTGAGTGATTGGAAGTCTTCCCCTGAGTCGCCGAGTGAGATCCGACGGAAAATTCGTGCCGGGAACGAGCGGCGAAAATATGCTCGTCTCGGAACTTGCAAAAGGATCTTGGCCAATTGCACAGCCCTAGGTAGCTTCTTGTGCATGCTCACTGCTTCCACGTTCTATCAAGCTGGTTCCATGTATAGTGATAGCATGTTTGGTAGCGATCGGCCGGATGTTGTTGAGATCTTTGGTGGACATTGTGAAGTGAGCATGCAGTTTGCTCGCCGAGGATGGAACAGCATGGAACCAAGTGATGTTGTTTATGGTGATGACCTTAGGGATGAAGATACTAGAAAAGGGGTTTTAGAACGACTCCGTAAAGCTAGACCCAGACTTGCTATCGTTGAGTATCCTCGTACTTTTTGGTCACAGCTTGCCAGCACGAACTACAGAACCAATCAGCAGAAAAGACGGTTGGCGAAGTTACGAAAGAAGGACGAACCTTTCTTGGAACTCTGTGAGTCCATCTTTGAAGAGCAGATCAAACGTGGCGATGATGCTTTGGCAGAGAATCCACTGGCCAGTCAGTCATTCAAGGTACCAGCCATGCGTCGTATCATGAATCACCCTCAAGTGTATCTTGGTGTTGGACATGGTTGCAGGTTTAATCTCAGAAGTAGTAAGACCAATCTCTTGATTAAAAGGCCTACCTTGTGGATCGCCACGAGTCCTGAATTGTGTGATGCTTTGTCTCTCAGGTGCCCCAATCGTGCGGGGGCAATGGTTCATCAACACGGGGAGTGTCATGGGAGTAAAGTTGCTAAAGATGCGGGACGGTATACCCCCGAAATTGGTAAAGCCATTGTTGAAGGATTGACCCGTACCCTTTTGAGGAAAGATCCCGGTCGTTTGAGAGGGTTGATTAGGGGTATCAAGAAACGATTGGGTAAGTTTGGGGACGATGATGACCGTTTGTTGAGGAATTCCCTGAAGAATGTTGAAAAGATTATGGAAGAAAACCCTGTGTTTGTTGTGAACAAAGATGACGACCCGATGGGCGATTTGGATGGTCCTGCGTCGGGTGAGATTACCGAGTATGAACCCGCAACGATTGCTCCTCATGGCATTGATTTCAAGATCCCGAAGGGTAGAAAACTTGACCAAACTAGTCGTGCCATTCTCAGAAAAAATTCACTGCAATCTTGGTCATCCCTCTATCAAAGATATTCAAAGATTCATGAGGAGTGCTGGAGCAAAGCAGGAATTGGTCGAAGCTGCAGGATGGATGGAGTGCAACGCATGTGCCAAAACAAAGAGACCGCGACTTCACCGCACAGTCAGAAATCCACCACATGATATCCAGTTTAACGATGAAGTGTTGTTGGACTGTTTCCAGTGCAAAGATGCTGAAAGAAAACCGTTCTGGTGTTTTTCGATTTTGGATAGGGCTACGATGTACCATCAAATTGACGTTTTGGCTAATCATGTTCCCGAAACCTTCATCAGCGAATTTTTCGATAAGTGGGTTAGATGGGCCGGAAAACCCCAAGAAGTCACGATCGACTTGGAGAGAGGTTTCGCTGGACAAGAGTTTGCTGAAGCTTTGGGTGTTGCTGGTATTAGCGTAGTTCCCATAGCCGGTCAAGCACATTGGCAACATGGTAAGATCGAAAGACACAATGGAATAGCTAAAGAGATGTTGCACAAAGTCATTGTTGAAAGTGATGCTAAAGGAAAAGATGAAATGAGGTGGGCGTGTGTTGAGACATGCAACGCTAAGAACACCTTAAGTCGTGAACATGGTTTTTCTCCTGCGCAACTGCTTTTTGGGGCTGAACCGCGGTGTTTTGGGGAACTCGAAGAAAATGGTGAGGTTTGTAGCTACCATTTCAGTGTTGGAGACAGGCACAGCATGGTTAGCAGAAAAATGAAGATGAGGCATGCCGCGAGGAAGAGGTACATTGAATGTCAAGCCGCGTACATGTTAGAAAGGACCGCGCGTAACAGGACTAGGGCGTGGAAGGAGCCGCAGATCGGTGACAGGTGTTTCTTCTTTCGCGAGGTCCGCAGGAAAGGTGTCTCTGGTTCTTTTCCGTGTTGGCAAGGTCCTGCTCTGGTTGTCGGTCTTCAGGGTCAGTCTAGTTATTGGGTGGTGTTTGGAGGACGCTGTTTCCTTGTCGCTCAGGAACATTTGAGGGAGGCTACAGGTGAGGAGGCTCTGTATGGTCGTCCCGAGGTTCAGGAAGCGATCGCCATCTTTAAACAGGGAGGTACCACTCAGGACGGTATGCCTTACACGGACTTGACTAAAGAGCGTAAACCTGATGAGGACGATTTGGACGCGCCCGTTGACGACAGTGTTGGGGATGTTGGACCGGAAGAGGACATGGAGGTCGAGATTCCTAGAGAGGTTGGACGAACTCCGGTGTGGAATCGTATTGAAGACCCTCCTGAGGATGTCAAGGCCTTAGGTAGCAAGCAAGGTTGGCACGAGGACGCGAGAGGAAACAAAGTTCATGTCGCGCACCGCGGTTATTGCTTTAGGACGCCCATGCCTAAGTATCAGCCAAATGAAGTTCCTTACCGCACGACTTGGGGCTTTGTGGGTGACAAGTGGGTTCTGTTTGAAGATGAAGTTAATTGGGTTCAATTGGATGACTGTCATAGTGTTTTTCCTGGGGGACCGATTCCGATTGTCATCACCATCTTTAAGAAACGCACTCGTAAACAGATATGCGAGGATTCCGTGCCTGACTGCATCAAGAGACAACGGACTGACAAACGTGAAAACGGAGCGTTTCTGACTTTGAGTAGGAGAAAGGCTCAAAAGGCTATTGACAAGGAAATCCCATATCACAAGATTCCCCCAGAGCAATTGGAAGATTTTTTGAAAGCTGAGAAGAAAGAATGGGATTCGTGGATTCAGTATGACGCTGTTGACATCCTGAACAAACAAGAAAGTGAAAGAATCAAATTGAGAAACCCAACAGAGTGCTGAAATGTAGGTATGTCTACAGAGACAAGAATGCTGGGTTGTATGATGAACATGGTAATAAGAAAGAGTTAAAGGCAAAGGCCAGACTTTGCGTGGCTGGGCAGAACTGTCCCGATTGCGCATCGGGAGAAGTGAGAGTTGATGCACCCACGGTCCAGCACTCCACCCTCATGTTGTTTTTGCATTGTGTGGCTTCGTTCGAATGGCTTAGTCATTGGAGGAATGGAGATATTTCATCAGCCTTCCTGCAAGGCGCTGAATCCCCTGGTGAACCATTGTATATGAAACTCCCTGAAAGAGGTCTCCCAGGTGTTGAGGAAGGCCAGTTGCTTCGATTGAAACGTCCGGTCTATGGAAGACCTGATGCACCTAGGGCATGGTACGAACAATTGGCTGGCTTCATCATGAATGACATGAAATTTGAAAGAAATTTGTTGGATCCGGCTTTGTTCATCTCCAGACATGCAGATGGTAGGCCTAGGGGGTTAATTGTTCTCCATGTTGATGATCTCATGGTGGCTACCGATGGTACGAGAGAAGTGGAACAGATGGTGAGTAAGATGTGTGAGCGTTTTCCTTTTGGAGAATGGGGTTTGGTTGAGAAAGAAAATGGTGGTGTTACTTACTGTGGTAAAGAGATTATGGTTGATACTGTCGATAATGAAAAGGTTATTCGGTTGAGACAACGTGGTTTTGTTGAAGGTCGGTTGGATTTGATTCCCATCAAGAAAGAGAGAAAAGCTGATCCCAAGGCTAAAGCTACTGACGAAGAAGTTAGCGATTTTCGTTCGGTTTTGGGAGCTCTGCAATGGTTGTCCACTCAATCTAGGCCCGATATCTCTTTCATGGTTAACCAACTTCAAAAGCGGGTGAATCAATTGGAGGTCAAAGACTTGGAAGTGGCGAATCAAGTTGTCCGAATTGTGAAGAAGAATGAAATGAGTATTACGTTTAGGAACTTGGGAAAAGATGTGGCTGTTGTTAGTTATCATGATGCTGGTTTGTACAATTCTCTCGGTGTGGAAATTGATGAACATGATCATGACTTGTTACAAAGTTTTTGCGATAAACGTTTATTGCATTCTCAAAAGGGTTCAGTGGTTTGTTTGGTGAAAACCTGTGACTTGGAGAGGACATCAGCAGTGCCAATGAATGTCATCTCGTGGAAGACCAAGTCGAACAAAAGGATCCTCGAGTCAAGTTTCGCGGCAGAGACGCATGCCGCCTTGATGGGTTACGGAAACGGCCACTACTTGAGAGTGCTCATGCTGGAGATCAATTGCGGCAGTCATGCGATTCAACAGCCTGAGGGAACAGACTGGTACAGTCAGATGAAGTTAGTCATGGCCACGGATTGTCGAAGTCTGTTTGACTGTGTCAGTCGTGATGCTCAATCTATAGGGGACAAAAGTAATTCTATTGCTGTTGCCATTATCAGACAACTGTGCTCGTGTGAGAAGTTTCCATCCGGCGAAAGGGCCAAGCTCTTGTGGGTCCCTACAAGACACCAGTTAGCTGATCCCATGACAAAAGCTGGCAAAGCCCAGTGTATGCAGGAATGCATAATCAGAGGGACCACTACCTTTCATGGAATTTCCGCCAAGGCCATGCGTGACTCAAGAGATAATGACATCAGTGTGAAAGTTTGCAGAAGATTCAGTTGAGTCACTTTGGCCATGTGCAATTCGCAAATTTCAGATGATCGATCCCGCAGCTACGGGCCCTGGGATATGAGGAAAAGGCTAGCGGATTTGCTTTTGATGGCAGCATTTTGAGGCGGCATTTTGAGCAGCGCTTCACACATACATAATATGCTAGCCCCCCTAAAACCTACCATTTTGACATTCGACTGGTATTTACGGTGTTTGTTTGCTTATTTTGCAGTAAACAAAAAACCCTTTATATATAATTTAGTTATATATATATCATTATATATCAAAATCATCATGCTTGAAAACATTGGAAATCTTCATACATCCTCAAGCTTGTTGAAATCAAGAACCAGAGAACCTATTTCTTCATAGCTCAGCTTGAGCAGCCGATCTCCAAGACCTGCTCAAGTCTTCGCACCGCAGGTTCGGGGTACGGGCCTGGCACTGTCGCAGCTGTCGCTGTCGCCACCATGGCCAATCAAAGAACCCAGAACTGGGTCAAAAACCTCTGGGTCCCCAGGCTGAGCTCACCAGTTCTGGGGTCGATTGATATCTCAGTGTCTAACAAATCAATGCAGCAGCATTCCACTGGATTATTTGAAATATTTGGATTCGTTTGGATCATATGTCACCAACAGCACCCTGCAATTTACCTCACTCGTTTCATGCAAAGTTCCGGGTGCGGCATAATTGGCAAGTAATTTTACAACCCACTTTGAGACTCACAAGAAACACTATGCCTTTCTCCTTGAGGCGGGAACCCACGCAGCAAGGGGCGCTCTACCCTGGGCATCGGATCTAGCGACAAGGACCAGGTGGCAGAGAACTCTGTGAGAGACCTGCATTAGACTGCCATAAATTGCCATAGATTGCCATTTGCACATGCTCGAGCCTGACTTCCAGAACCGGAAGCGGAGGAACTAGGAGCACCTCTGAAAGACGTTCTCAGCCAAAGGTTCTACAGATTGTATTGTCAAAGATGTAGAGATCAATCGCCCAAAAGCCATGAAAATAAGCCCAGGCGGTATCCCCAACAGCAAAGGTGGTAGGAAATGTATAGTACATAGATGTGTGTATGATATGTGTATGTACATATATATATATATATGTCGAAACACTGGCAACGAAACCTACCCACCGGGGCATGCACTCGGACCTTTTCGCCTGAGAATGAAAGTGTCCTGCGGAGTCGATTCTGTGACCTCCTGGATGTTATGGATGAGCACTGTGATGGGACGAATGCTGGCATTGGAGGACCTTGACATTAACACTCCTATTAATCTCTACAATTAAAAAGTTAAGTGGACCATGTTGGCATCAAGGTTTTGACTACCAATCTTTGAAGTGCTCACTTATATTGGCGGACTTCCGAAGTCCCTGGGATCACAGGGCCCTGGGTCAGGGCAGGGCCAGTAACCAAGCGGTCACAGAAAAGCAAAAAGCGGGTCAAATCCAAAAGGCGTCCCTCAGCGGAATTGAGGCGAGCCATGCACCACTTCTTATATCCAACAGCCTTCTCATCTTTACGCTCAAGAAGATCCTGATATGACATGCCACAACCCTTATATTGACCCCAGGTGATCAAGGTGCGGCTCCACTGCTCAACACTCAAAACACTTGGAGGCAAGGTGATCTTTCCACCTGGAGACTCACTTGACTTGGGCACATATGGCACCTCCATGTCAGGAGCATGGCCAGGCATCAGCTCACGAGTATGGGCATGCGCAGCGATCTCATATCCTGCATACGACAACTTCTCAGAACTTTGGGAGTCTTCCTTCACAGGAGAGCATGCACGACGTTTGGCACCATCGGTCATGGCCCCGCACATCGATCCAGTCACAAGAGAAAAGCCACCCTCACTGCTAGTTGATTCGGCATCCACCGGCTCTGACGCTTTCTGCAGCAAGGCTTGAAGCTGGGCATGTTCGGATGACGACAACGGCATCACAGCGTTGTCAGGCTATTGCACCAAGACTACAACGCTGACACGTGCACACGGCAATCAGGCTTGACATGAAAAACTGCACTATTTCTTAGCGTGAAATCTCTATACACACAAAATTTCATGCACACAAGTGATTGAAACGCAAGCTATGGCAAAAAGGGCTATCCACTGCTACCGGCTCTTACTGAAAAATGTTCTCTCACAATGACGGTACTATGCAATTCTTCCCAAGCTGAATGTGCCAACCTACATTGACAACCTCACTTTTCTGGAGACGGCTGTGCAGTTGAAGCTGAGGCTATATGTTGTTTTCTGCGCTCGCGTTCCTCAGCTTGTTGTTGCAAAACTAATTCCTCAGGTGAGATCTGATACTGACCGTGCCGCAGACATGACCTTAAAAGGTCAACAGGATCCATCTTGTTCTTTGTAAGTCCGTCGGCTAACATGCGATTGGTGGGCAACCAACGGACAGTTCCACAAGTAGTGAAAAGGGATTCCCGTATTTTGACAACATCGATACTGGTGCGCCTATCATCTATTGATGTTGGGGCTGATGGTGATATCAAGTGGTCATAAAGCGACTTGCAATCAGTTGCATATATGGGTGGTCGTTTTTTCAACATGTCACGTGCATCTCTGATTTCATATGGTCCATGCAGAACTTCCAACAGCAAAAGAGTAAGCCACTCGACTGTTCCACTGGCTGTGGACATGGCCTGTGCCTCACCGCTCAAAGTTGAACTCACTGCCCTCGGCAAACGATAACTACGCCAGACTGCAGGATTCCATGGGGATGGCAAACCTTCATGTATGTCATGATCTACAAAAGCCAAAATGTATCCCGCCTGAGTGTGAGATCCTACATTGGCAAATGCAGCATCAGAGTGACAGCACGAAGTCAACTTGCTAGGTTGAATGTAATTGAATTTGACAGTTACATCTTTATGTTGTTTGGCTCGTCGAATGGCATTGTTGGCTTCCTTAAGGTGACCAATGGTAGGGTTTGGAAAACATTGTTGGCTAAGGCTGGTCTGCACTGCTAGGTCTGGCCTGGATTGGTTGGCAATCCAGTTGAGGCTACCGTTGATACCTCGGAACACTCGAATCTGAGCGGAATCCAAAGGTTTTTCTGCTTTGACTCCTTTGGGCACATACGCTGGTTTGAGACCTTCGGCGAAGGAAGATTGGGACATCGAAATCTCTTTGGTAGTAGGATCTTGATTGTAGAAAGCACCACAAAATTCCCCAGCTCCAGTTCTCCATTTTCGAAACGGAAACCTACGTCTCAGCTGTTCAATGGATTGTTGATACAAGGGGCCCATGCCTCCTACTGCGATGTCATCCACATGCACACCCATCACTCCTACCAAAGTTGATTCCGGTCCGCTCGTTCTCAACGTGTACAAACATGGGTCAAAACGAAAACGAGTCCAACCTGCGCTACATGCTTCGTGGTCAAAAGTTCGATACCAGGCAGCTGGGGCATCGTTCTGCCCATACACATTCCCGGTTACTTCCAAGACTGCGTCAGGAGGAACACCTGGGATGCCACCTGAAGGAACATGTGCAAACAATGGTCTATATCGTGGGTCAAGAGGACCAGCTTCCATGAAAGCACCTTTGATGCCACCAAGATCCAATGTCCAGCGATGAGAAACCAAAATTTGCATTAACAACTTAACAACACTCGGCTATGTTGACTCAATGTTGGGGATTGCAACACTCCATCCTGAACCTTCTTGTCCAAGTCAGGGCCCAAATGACCTTGAAGGCACCATCTACTCTTGATTTTGTACGTTGTAGGATCATCCACATTGACATTCACTCCTTCTTCAACTGCTTTTCGTGTGATAACGAAACGACTGCCGATGAACCGATCAGGATGTTTCTCCTTCAGTGCCTGGGCCTTCTTTCCATAATGAACCTTGACAGCACCTTTCTCCAAGATGGTGGACCACTCTGCAGCTTTTGATTCGTTTACCAGTTTCTGCAAATCCGCAGTATTGCCACTATGAGGGAGTTCTTTAGTTGCTTTCTTTTGAACATGTGCTGCAATCAGAACATCGATGTCATTGTTGCAAGCGTTCATTTCTTCAACTAACAAAACCTCTTCACCTCCATGATCAAGAGCTGCTGACATGGCCTCCTCACTTGATGGCTTGGATCGATGGGGATCCGGTGTCTCTGGGTCTTCCAAAGCTCTTTTCATCGCCGGAGTGCGATCGGATGCTTCACTTTGGACTTGTTCTATGGCTTGGTCAACTAGCTGAGGGACTACTTCACGCATGATTTCTATGAAGTCATCTTCACGCATGGCAGGAGGTCTGTACAGAGCATTTTCATCGGACTTCCCATGAACACGCCTACGGATCGGACCGTACGAGCTGCTTGACTGTTCGGGCTCAGTTGGTGTGCTGGAAACACCAGGCATTTCAGGAACTTGGCTGTTCATATTGGGGTGTTCTTCATGGTTGATCTGACCAGGGGTTACACTACTTTCTCCTTCCAACACTGAGGGAGCCGGAACAGAGGGTTCAGGCACTTCTGGAGCAGCAGGTCTTTGCACCTCTTCTGCGTCACCGGAAACTGGGAGCTGAGCCAAAGGTGTTGCCGGTTGAGCTGATGCTTCCACTGTCGGAGGATATTGTCCTGGAACCAAATCTACATATTGTTTCCCCTTAAAGGTACCTCCCTCAATCAGATCCTTAATGCCCAACAATTCGGCTTCTGGTGTTTGAACCAAGGTCTTTTCCTGGGAAGTGGCTGGACGAAGCTGTTCAGGGGCACATCTAAAAATCTGTTTTCGGTGAGCGATCACATAGTTCCGGCCTACCTTACCAATGATCATTGCAGTACCATGCCAACAACCTCCTTGTACCACTGTCTTTTGAGCCTGTGAATACTTCTGTTCACGCCAGTAGGCCACCAGCTCACCCGCACGAAATTCCTGAGACACTCTTGGACGCGCTAACAAGGCCTGTCTGAGAGCTCTGTCATCCTGGAGTTCAACAACTGCTTTCCTTGCTGATGCACGAATTGACTGAGCCTCTTGTATCTCAGAATCCAACAAACCAGCGGTGGCAGGAATGACCTGCAGTGGCTCATTGAGCAAATCTCCAGGAATTGTGGGGTTCTTTCCAAAAACAAACTGATGAGGAGTAAAACCATAGTTTTGGATCATTTGATTCTTCACATGTGCATGTTTAACACAACGTTCCCATGCCAGCTTGTCACTAGGGCTGTGTTCTTTGATGACTTTTTCTAGGACGCGTGCAAACCATCCACCATGACTCTCAGTGCGACCCAACTGCCAATGAGCTTCGGCTGGAATCAACTTGACTGAGGTGCCAAGAGACTCAAACAGCGCCTGTAAGGCTTCACCCAGCATTGTTTGAGCTGGATCCATGATGGCCTCTGTTGGAGGACCAGCCCAGCGTATCCAGTGATCTTCAACCAATTTGCGGAGTAGTTCGGATGTCTCACGATCATGAAAAGGTATCATCACTTGAAAACAAGATGCTTGGTCTACCAAATTCAGGGCTTTGATCTTTTGTCCAGGTTTCCAACCTGGAAGATATTTCACATCCAACCCGAGGCACTGATTGAACTGAGTGTGCCAGCTTGACTTCGCAGGCAGTGGCACCTTGGGACCAGCTTGAGCCAGGCAAAATCACACTGAAGTCCTTTGGCTAACTCCAGGGCTTTTTCGCTAGCACCTCCATGCTTCAGCACACGCACCAAATCTTGAGTACTAGGGTGACCCAAGTTCTTGTGAACTTTCTGAAGAGCTTTCAACACAGTTGCATCATCTGCAGCATGGAGCTCTTGCTTGGCGGCAGTCAAAACTTCGCATTCATGCTGAGTGGTATGGTCGATCAAACTAACCAATTGTTGTTCAGA